CCGCCAATCCCGTGACCGAGGGGGCGGGCTCCTGCGCCGTTCTCACCGGAAGTGCTGCGCCGCGCATTTCCGGAGTGCAGTGAGGCCTGCTCCTTGGCGGCGGGGAGCGGCGGCGCCATGGCCGGGATCAAAGGTGCGCAGGGGGCGCGGGCCGGGGCACGCCAAGGGGTGGCGCTCGGGGCAGAGCCGGGGCTGCCGTACGCGAGCCCCTGCCCAAGGCGGGACCACCCACCGCCGCCCTCCGGGCTCGCTCCTCCGGGGAGAGCCCGCCTCTGCGCTTGGCACTCGCAGCCCCCTCCTCGCTTCGCGTGTAGCCTCGCTGTGCAACTCACGGGGCCCCGGTAAATCCAGTTCCAATGGGCCCGCCCGTGCAAAGGCGCACGCGCGTTCTGACCGTACGCGGCTGTGAAACTCGGTAGCTGTGATTTGCAGGCTGTTGGTATTGAGCCGCAGGGTTCCAGTAAAGCCAGCTGGCTGGTAAGACTTCCCTTTCAGAAAATCGGTCACTTGCTTCCTAATGTTGCTGGGTGAAAAGGAGCATTTGGAACCCAAAGCACATCTTAGTTCTATCTCCTGAACTTCAAAGAAGCCTCACTTTTCCCATTTTGAAGAGTCACTAATTTCTTTTGTCACAACAGCCAGATTCTGATGAGTATATCTGAAACAGAATGATGCATCTTTCTGGAGAGATATTTTAAAATACTAAGTAAGCATATTATACAAACAATTTAACTTTATAGAGAACAGGTTTAACATGACACTTAAAATGTTCCTATATTAAAATTTTTTTGTTTCATGTTTTAATTGAGCTGGAAGTAGTTTCATGTACTAGCTCTGCTCCTGAGCACTCCTGCTGATTTTTGCTGCAAAATTGTATTTACTTGTTTTTTTAATAACCTACAAAAATAGAGGAAATGGACGACTAAGTACTGGGTAAACAGTAGAACGTTCCGTAGGCAAAATGTTGTCAAAATAATGTAGGGCTTGATTCAGTTCTTCGAGTCAGAGTTTTTTAACTTCAGAGGGCTTTGGAATCAATAGACAAACTGAATAATCAAATTTGAAAAAATATGAAAGAAAAACGCTTTTTCCAAAACTCCTGTTCTTGTGTTTTGTCAGAATACGTATACTGGGAAATTGGTGTGTGTGTGTGCGTATATGTGTGGGTATATATAATATATACACACCTCATAGTTTCATAAGAAACCTCTATTGATGCTCATTGTTAGCTTAATCATATTGCCTAAGTTAAATCACATTTCCTCCCAATAGAATTAATAAATAAAGTAACCCCATGAGGTTTCCTTAAGGGACCCATAACCTTTCATGTGCTTCGGAAAGTCCCAAGATGGATATGAAATCCCACTTGCGTCATCTTTGTTTTTTAAGTACTAACTACTGAAAACATGTAGCAAACAGAGGGAAGAACCTCATGTTAAATTTTATTCACAACTTCATTTAACACTGACTGTTTTAAAGCTTATTTTTTGTGTGTGTAGTGTAAATACAAATATAGAGAACCTTTAATGAAATAAACATCTCCTTAAATGTAATATGAAACCAATGAGAAATAAAATATTTACTTATGGTCTGATAGTTCGAATTGGTGGAAAAAATCTGAAAAATTGAGTTTTGGTAGACTTGAATGAACCCCACTTAATACACAAATGGTAGAACTTTAAAGGATGTAATTCTGAAAAGCGTAGTAACTGTAAACTTGATATACAGCAAAATTAAATTTAACATTTTCCTTTGTAAATGACCAAGCAGTTTTAAGAGGACATCATCTGGTATGATGTACAATAAGGATTTAAACCAATTGCTTTCCCATCAATAAATGGGAATAGCTTCTATTTTCTGATTAAAAAACCTGATTTCTAGGTATATGTTGCCTTTGACTTGACATTCATTTAGTTAAATAAAACATCACCAAAGAGGAAGGGCTTCAGAACTTAGCATTGTGAACTATTTTCAATCTCTGACCTATCCTATTAAATAAAGAATAAGTATAAGGCAACGAGTTTAGCCTAAGGAGGCTGGGGTTCTTTAAGTCTGCTAAAATCTTATTGCACCAAGTGAATAGAAGTCACATAGAAATATGTCATTTTATATATTTCACAAATTTGATTGTGAGGTATTCCATTCTAGGGATGTTTTAGCGAGTAGTCCAGTTCCCCCAGCACTGTCTCTGCTGTGCTGCCTGGTCCCCATCCTTTCCCCCACCCTGCTGCCTCTATCAGAGGCAGCAGCAGGGGGATATGGGAGGCTGCTCCAGCAACAGCCCCATCTATGAGGTGCCAAGTAGCCCCTGTTCGGAGCTGCCTGGGCAGGCCACACGCAGGAGCTGCTCCTGCAGCATTCCTAGCTGCAGCCAGCCCTGTCTGCTGCAAACGGGCTGGTGGACTCATTGTGAGCTGGGACTGAGCAGTCCTTCTCGCACTGGTCCAGGACACTGTGCCTCTGCATTTTAAATGTAGTAAGAACTCATCCGCTCTTATTGCATTTAAAATGCATAGCCTCAGTGTGGGTGGCTCCCAGAGCTGGCACAAGCCAGGACTGCTTGGTTCTGGCTTGAGCCGGCTCCTGGAGCTACCCCCGCTGCAGCTCTGCAGAGCAACCCTTATTGACAAACCATGTGGTTGATTCCACAATTTAATATCCTTATTCCATTCAATAAGCATAATTTGGCACATTTCAAAGTTGAGTCAATTTGCATTATTTGTGTGGCATTTTTACTTTCTCACAGTGCATGTATTTGAATAGATTTCCCTCAAGCATGCAAAAAAAAATCTGCTGTCTTGATGAAGCATATAAAATTTCAGTCATAAGAAGTTTTGAACAAGTGAAAAACAGGGTCATTATTTAATCTCTTTTGCAACCTTAATTGCAGCATATGCTGTTAAAGTGTGGGAGGGGGAGGAATAAGACCAGTTCACTCCAATCTACTGCAAGAGTATCCATTGATCTGCTTTAAATGTTAGTGAAATTAACAGTGTTGAATATTTTAGAATACTCTGCATCAGCTCGAAAGCTTGTCTCTCTCACCAAGATATTTCAGCCTTCACCTTGACTTTGAAAGACTGTGAATGCAGAAGGAAGAGGCTAATTCAATGACACCCTTGACTTGCATAGATATTAGAGATGTTAGATATCATTTTATTGAATAGTTGAATAACCTCATGAATTCTTACTGATTACAGGCAGTCCCCGGGTTACATGGATCCGACTTACATCGGATCCCTACTTACAAACAGGGTGAGGCAACCCCGCACTAGCTGCTTCCCCCCCAGCAGACCAGGGAGATGCGAAGCTAGCGCCCCCCCGCAGCAAACCAGGGAGACGCGAAGCGGCTTTTCTCAGCAGACACCTCAGCTTGAGAATAAAGGACTGAGGGAATTGAGGGGTGGGAGAATAAAACTGAGCTCTGGAGAAATGTTTGGCTAGAGTTTCCCCTACAATATGTACCAGTTCCGACTTACATACAAATTCAACTTAAGAACAAACCTACAGTCCCTATCTTGTACGTAACCCGGGGACTGCCTGTACTTGACTATTTTAGCTGCGCAGGGTGGGAGCTGGTCCATGAGGGAAGACAGTTTAAAAACTAGCTCCCTTCTTGGAAGGGCTGCCTGCAACCCTGTGCTGCTGCCTCTGATATAGGGGTGGCAGCAGCCCCTGTCTGGGGGGAGGAGGGTCTGAGCTCCTGGACCCAGCTTGAGCAAGGCTGCCTGCTTGCCTACTTCCTAATACACTTTGGCTACTTCCTAATACACTTCGAAGTAGGAATAAGAGCCTCCGTTCTTGGAAGGGCTGCCTGCAACCCTGTGCTGCTGCCTCTGATATAGGGGTGGCAGCAGCCCCTGTCTGGGGGGAGGAGGGTCTGAGCTCCTGGACCCAGCTTGAGCAAGGCTGCCTGCTTGCCTACTTCCTAATACACTTTAAATGCAGAGCCTCAGCAGCAGTAGGTCCCGGACCCATCACAAGCCAGGATTGAGACAGGCTGCTGGCCAGCCTGCTAAAATATTAGTGGCCAGGGAAGGGGAAAATGCATGTTGTCTATGGCATTAACCTATAAGCTTTTGCTTATTGGTTAATCAACTACCTTATTGCATCCCTAGTAGATATTGTTCAGCTTTGCCAATAGCAAAAACATTGTAAATACTTTCATATTGTGTATTAATGTCCCATATGTTGTTCTGTTCTTGATTTGTTTTTTCCTTACAGCTTTGATTAGCCTGTCCTTTGGAGGAGCAATTGGACTAATGTTCCTGATGCTTGGATGTGCTCTCCCACAGTACAATAGGTAACATAGAGTTTGAACACACTTTTGGCCTCATGCCCTTTCGCTACTGAATAGTGAGTCTTGTCTTCCAGAGACATTGTAATGAAAATTCTTTTAGTGCACACTAGCTGTTCTTGTAAGCAACTTTTTTGATTATGGATTGAAAATATTAGGGATAAACAAAATCATCTGTGAACTAGCTAGCCAGGAAAGGGAAACCAACTAATATATTTATAGGATAGTCTTAAACACAAACCATTAAGGAAAGCAACAGAAAATGTTTCTCAGATTTGAACTCTCTTTATCCATTAACCTCTGTGTACTTGGATTGACATAGGTTTCAGAGCATATTTTGAATGGGTAATAGAAGAATATTGCCAGTGTGATGGCCAGTTTGTCCAAAGAACTATTGGGTAGTTGACTGATTTGCAGTGTTGTAGCTAAGTTGGTCCCAAAATTTTGGTGAGACAAGGAAGGCAAGGTTATATCATTTACTGGACCAGCTTCTTGGTTTTTCTCACCAACATAAGTTGGTCCAATAAAAGATATTACCTAATCTGCCTTGTCTATCTAGATTAATTGAAAGACAAGCTTGTAGACCCTTGTAGTTGCCTAAGCATACCATGTCTGTCTGATAAATTGTCCAGCCCCTTTCAACTGATGGTACAATGAAATAAGAAATACTAAACACCTGTTGCTAGGTAGAATGACATCCTGAATTACTGTTGTGGAATAAGTTGTCTTCACGGGTCTATATTTTGGTTCTGTAGCCTCCTTCCCCTGTTTTCTGAAAGCTGAATATCAGGTATAGTGCTAAATATACTTTGTATGACTTCCTCCACCTTATTGAGTGAACGCTAAATTTAAAATATTTGCCAAAGTATTTATTTTCCAGGTTCTAAAAATATTTTGGAGATATTTCCATCCATTGATGTAATTTATTTATTTATACATCCATTGATGTAATTTATTTTTTATAAATGTCTGTAGAGAACAATTCCTTACACACACAATATTTATGGGCAGCTTTTAAATCTTATAAAGTTTGGCAGGATTGCTAAAATATTCAGAGGAATTGATCATATCTGATTCTCTTAAATGATGCAGTGAAGTGCCCAGAAAAAAAGTGGATAGATAGGTCTTCTCCCTTGTGTGCTTAAGAAATGGTATTTAAGTGCTAATAATAATAAACCATTATTGCCAAATGCTGTAGATTATATAAGGGCATTTTTACATTCAGTATTTAAAATGTTAAAAGATCTTGGCACTTGATAACACTTTTAGAATTAGCTGACAGCTGGATTTGGTTTTTGTTTTAAATGTTTCAATACAAGTTTGTGAAGCAAAGGGAGGAGCAGATTGAGATCTTTCTCTCTTATCCTCTGAGAACACCCTCTCGCCCTGTTTTCCTCCACGGTAATTCATGTCATCTGAAACAGTCCCTGGGCTTGAACATTTGGGACCCCATCATGGTTATAAATTTCACTTCCCTGCTGAATGGAGCCAGTTATGTGTGTCAGTTCATCTTGGAACCCTTCCTCCCTCCCCTTTCTTAAATTATTGCTTGAACAGGAAATGGACTAAAGGGGTGTTATAATTTTGCAGTGGGGAAAGAAACTTTAGTGATATATTTCATTGAGTTCTTAATATGCTTTATACAGTAATCACTGTGGTAAGGGCTTTTTTAACTTTCCTGATGGGGGATAGAGGTATACACACAAGGGTTTTTATCAGGAAAAGCAATAATAAATTATGTACTGTGAAGAAATGGGACTATTAACTCTTCTCTTTTTTTCTTTTCTCCAGCCAATACTGGCCCCTGTTTGTTCTGTTTTTTTACATCCTTTCTCCTATCCCCTACTGCATAGCAAGAAGATTAGTAGATGAAACAGATGCTGCAAGTAATGCCTGCAAGGAGCTAGCAATATTTCTTACAACAGGCATTGTTGTCTCCGCATTTGGGCTACCTATTGTATTTGCCAGAGCACAACTGGTTAGTAATATTTCCATATGGGAATATGTCCTTTGCTAAATGATTCTCTATGTTGTTTAGTATGTTCTCTGAGCTTAAAGTTTTGCCGATACATTTTGATACAACTTTTAAACTAAGATGTTTAAAGTGTACCTGAGTAAGTGAAAATGTATATAACATTGCAAACATTCAAGAAGAAGGAAAATATAACAGCCATATAAAAACTCTCCCACAGAAACAAAGCTAAGAATGTTCCAAATAATGTGGACACCATTTATGGAGTAGTTAGGACTGTTCTCCCTAGTGGTAATCTATTTCTTTCTCCTTTTTACTAGACTCAGTAAACAAAATATAGGATATCCAAGGAGAATTATCACAAAATGTGTGGCCTGGGTTCTAATCAATATATAATTCTCTTCAGTTCTTTGTTTAGGCAAGTGTAGCACTTAGGCTTGGCGTGGGTTTAGGGAGGGTAGCTGGTCTGGTGTCAGACCAACTGTGAGAGAATTGTTAAAATGTGTCTCCATGTACCATGGTTTTGTGGTTTAATTGCAGATCATAACAAAAGCTTGTCGTTTTGTTCCACTACAAGCCATGCTTGGTAACTTTGCATAATGTTATTTTTGTCTCTTTTTGTTGCTTCATCTGTCTTGTTCTCTGTATATGTAACCAGATTTCCCTTGTCCACAGATTTTGTGGGGAGCATGTGCGCTCGTCCTCACAGGGAATACTGTCATCTTTGCTACTATCCTAGGATTTTTCTTAGTCTTCGGCAGCAATGACGACTTCAGCTGGCAGCAGTGGTGAAAGAAGTTGAGTACAGAACTATCGTAGACATCTTGTCATTCAGCGGCCATCCATACAAACAGAGAATGGGCAATAAGGAGAAATAGCATAGAAAGCCTCTTGGTGTATTTTAGATACTACTTTTCACCTTGTTTATTGTAAGTGTTCTATCTTTGCTGACTTGCTGATGGGTTTCAAGGTTTTTATTGTTTGGAAAGACACTTAGTATTCATTTCCTTTTACCAAAATAGGTTTAGTAACTGATTCATTTAAAATTTTAATAGTTGGTTCCATTCTGTTTTGTATTTATGCTACATGAAAATGCTGGAACAAGAATTTTTAAACAGTTTAATTTAGAAAGTTTTCAAAAGTTTTTTAAGCTCAAAAGTAAGTAATATTGGGTTATGGATAAAATGTATCTTTTTTTCCTCTTGACCATCGCGACTAAGTTATGATGTACTAAGGAGAAAAAGTAAGCAATTGTGCTACCAAAACAGCAATATTGTCAATAAGTAAATGTGTTGATAGACAGTGTTTTGATGGGTGCATAGGTAATGGATGGGAGTACCCGTTGTAGACTATTTTATTCACACCTTGCTATGACTGAGGTATTGATGCCACTGGCTTGGGAATGGGGCAGCTGTTGCCAATAAGGAGGTATTTATTTTCTGAAATCTGCTTTTGACACCCTTAAAGGATACTTCCTTTTTTGTTCTCAGCTCGTGAGTGGGTGTGACATACAAATCTCTTATGTATAAGTTGTATTTGTTTATTCATGCTATAAAATGCAAAATTTAAATTGCATTGGTGAGGGAAAAAATTAATATTTTCATTTTCAAAGCTGTTAATGTTTCTATTTATAAATATTGTATGTTTTTGGTCTTCTGTGTCAACTTTTAACATTTTACCAAAGGGAAGGTAAAATGTTCATTTATGGAACTACTGATGTATGTCTGTTTGCAGCATATACAAAATCTTTTCCCCACTTCCCTTTTTTAATTTATTTTATACATAGTATATATTGAGTAAAATGGCTTTTCAACTGTAGACTAACACTTAAATCACAGGTATTTAATTTACCATAGAAAATTGCTATAGTAATATACAGTACAGTCGAAGCACAGCTTTTTTGCAAGTCTTTGACTGAAATGATTTCCTAGTGACTTTGTCAGTCTTTCAGTTCATGCATTATCTGTTAACAGTAATGTTATCTGTAATAATTGTAGTTCTTGTTCCATAAGGTTATATCACCTGTAATTTACAACATTTAAGACAAGTTTTCTACATACCTCTCAATTGTCTGTTTTTAATTGACACAAATCCTATATATTAGATATTCATTGTGATGCAGTGGATTAATGCAGATTAATCAGGTTTAACTATATTAGATGCATCAATAAAACTGACCAAAAATACTTTTAAAATCTAGTTTTATTCAACTTTTTTTAAAAAATGAAGATTAGAAAAGCAAACTGTGCAGGCATGATTAAAAATAATTACATAGGTCTTAATTATAAGTGCTTCAGTATAAAAATGCATGGAGCAAGTGGATCTTGTCTTGTGAAAAAGTGGATTATTTTATTTACATGAATGTAAACTAACTATGAAACTGACTATTTGAAATCTATTATGATGGTTACATTGTATGTTTAAGATACTTAGTATGTAGGGACAGAAGACGGGTGTGCACAGCTACCTGTCAGTCACTAAGGCCACACAATGTTGTGTGCAAGAGTTGGAGCAATATTCTCCAGAGCTGTAAAGGAACTGAAGAATAAAGTCCTCAGTGTGTAGAAACTGAATCTTTAGCAGATAGCATTTAAGCCATCCTTAAAGACATATAACAGAAGAATCCATTGAGTAGGATGGAAATTTTCAAAAGTGCCTGAGTTGATAACACGTCTCATTGACTTTCAGTGGGACTTGTCCACCTAAATACTTTACGTGCGTTTGAAAATCTCCTAAACCAATGGCTGATGATGGAACTTGCCATCAAACAAAAGTTAGCACTAGTGGCTTTGACAAATCCTCCTAGATTCTTGAGTTCTTTTTATGGCCTGACCCAGTCATTGCCTAAGAAATGCATTGTTTTTCCCATTGCTTTTCTAGTTATCAATGTAATGTACTCTTCCACCTGGCCACAAAATATTTTATATTTAATAGCTGTGTACTTTTCCATATATTAATTGTGTTGACAGCATTGTATTCTTGACCTTGTACACTAATTAGACAATGCTGTCTCTGATTTCTAGGCTAGACACTTGAGAGGTATGACTTTTCCATATATTATGCACTGAAATAGCATTACCATCCTTCTGTAGAGCACTTTTGATGATGAAACAATAAACGTTTTAAATATCAGCTTGAAGTTCTGGCTATTTAATGAAAATATATTACTATGTATGTTAATCAGAGTATATAGTCTGTGTTAAAAACATGGATTGCTTACCCCACATTGTTTTCATAGGTTTGTCCTTGCTGTTGGAAAAATGTGCTTGTTTTCAAAAAAAATTACTTGTCTGTTTTGAAAATTGGTGCTTCATTAATCTGAGGCCACTATGGAGATTTAAGATTATTCATTAGTATGCAAGGATGTCCCAGCAAACTCAAAGCGATAAGATATTTACAATATTTACAATATTTAGATGTTTTTCCAAGCCTGAGCATTCCATTATTTTGAATTTCATTTGTAAGATTTGTAATACCAGCATTAATTGTACACACCACTAGGATTACATTGCCAATAGATGTCACATATGGGACTTTTTAAGTTCTATATAATAGGCTGCTAAACCATACAGTATTCTTAGTTGTAACCAGTTGCTAGCCCAAGCTTACAATACTTAAAATATTTTACAGTAATATGTTGTCAGTCAAAACTCTGTTGACCTGCTACATTTATTGCCTCAGTACACACAATATGTAAGTGATTTATAGAGTGGTGTGAGAGATATCTATCAGTAAACTTCTGAAAATTGGAAAGTTGATACCATATAGTGCCTGTCACGAACAAAAAGAAATGAATGAAATCCTGGAAATTGTGCAATAAGACCTTTCCTTTTTTTCTAGCAGATAACTTGTTTTGGAAAAAAATAACTTGATGAGGTCAAACCAGATTCTAAAAGCAAAAGTGTACTTCTAATATGTGAAATCTGAGGAAAATTAAGACTTCAGGGTTGAAACTTCAGTTTTGAAACCACCACTCCAGTGACAACAACTAGCGAGTCAGTTCTGTATTGGACAGGGAAAGAATGTGATAGTACACAAGGCTGTCTAAAGGCCCGTCTAGCCCAGTAACGACAGACCTGGGGACAATGGGACCTGTGGGGACCGACTGGGGGAAGTATTAATATTGCTTGTTGTGGTGGCGCAACTAAGCTGCACCTAGTAAATGAGCACTAAAGCGTAGGGATCAGTTAGTCTGACCAATCAGCACACTGGCCCCGGGCTGGGCCTAGGCTTGCTGGTGAACTCTGCCCGGCATGATCCCGAGTGGACAAGGGGCGGGGCGAGTGAGAGAATCCGGTTGTGGCGGCGCAACTAAGCTGCACCTAGTAAATGAGCACTAAAGCGTAGGGATCAGTTAGTCTGACCAATCAGCACACTGGCCCCGGGCTGGGCCTAGGCTTGCTGGTGAACTCTGCCCGGCATGATCCCGAGTGGACAAGGGGCGGGGCGAGTGAGAGAATCCGGCCCCATCCTCGAGCGCTGTTCTTGCATTGCCCCCCCCCCCCCGGCCGGGCCGCCGCCGTTTAGACACAAGGC